GGCAGCGGCCCTTCAGGATCGAGTTTGGACACCCCTGGAATTAATGGTTGACTTTCCCCTGAAGTCTCTCTGTTATTTTCATCTACATACTGACACAACACCAAGAAAGGAGGTAACGCTGCAGACAATCAAAACTCTGGGAAGTTGTTAGCCCGCAAGCTAACTGTTAGCTAGTGCCTCACGTCGATGCGTGCAAAGTTGACTTTGTGGGACATTATTCCAACCAGTCCAAAGTGAATCCCTGCCTCTTGCTCACACACACACACACACACACACACACACACACACACACACACACACACACACACACACACACACACACACACACACACACACACAGCTTCTTCGTTTTAGTACAAACACACTTTGGCGCCAAGCTCCTAGTCAAAAGATTTAAAGACTGTGAAGTGAATTCAAAGATTTATTTCTACATTTAAATACATGTTTGAAGATAATTGTTGACAATCTGCGATATTGACGGCTATGTAGTATTGAATTGCAGAGATTTAGCATTAAAATATCCTTCACTGTTTTAGTATTCCTGTTTTTTGTTTTGTTTTGTTTTTGTTTGTTTTTTTTTGTGCATGGCTAACATGGTCGCAAGAGATTCACTTTGGAGTCTGGAATGAGTCCACCCAGCCTCCACTATATGAGAACTTCAGCGCCTTTGTTCGCACGAGTAACTATCCAGCGAGTTATTTAGTTTTAATTACTTGGCCCAATTCTACCACTATAGAGCGCAGTTAGCTAGCTAGCTAGCTACGTAATGCATCTTCCATGGATACCACAGTCTGCAGAACAGCTTGGTGTCATTATTTATGTTCCCAGGTGTTATGTGTTTTGTGTTATTCATGGGAAAAAAACTGTGACACAAAGCATTGAGGGTATACAGTGTAAACAGCAAGTAGCATGTGCTCAAATGTTTGTCATGTAGTGGGAGCCACAGGCAGGAATGATGCGTGTCACCCTATTGAATAAATCAGACATGTCCAGCCCTGGAGGCTGATGAGCTGATCATCTGGATCAGGTGTGTTGCTCCTGGGAGAGTTGGAAAACAGGCAGCGGCCCTTCAGGATCGAGTTTGGACACCCCTGGAATTAATGGTTGACTTTCCCCTGAAGTCTCTCTGTTATTTTCATCTACATACTGACACAACACCAAGAAAGGAGGTAACGCTGCAGACAATCAAAACTCTGGGAAGTTGTTAGCCCGCAAGCTAACTGTTAGCTAGTGCCTCACGTCGATGCGTGCAAAGTTGACTTTGTGGGACATTATTCCAACCAGTCCAAAGTGAATCCCTGCCTCTTGCTCAAAGTCAGGTGTGATAGAGTGAAGTCACCCCCGTGAGGATAAGTAGTAACGAAAATGGACGATTGGAAGAACAACCCATAGGCTATATATCCATCCATCCATTCATCCATTTTCTGATCCGCTTAATCCGCACAAGGGGAGGCTATGTATTTAAATATTAACTAAATGTAAATTCAAACTGAGCTTTATTTAGTCCTCAATCAAAAACGCTCCCATTAAAATTCGAAAGCGGTAACAATGCAAAGATCTGTGGAGTTGCCTTTTCCCTTATGTCCATATTGTTAAAACATGTCCGACTTTTTTTCTCCCTTTCTTGTCTTGTATCTTCCAATTTGAAGAAACATACTTATTTGTGCTTTTTATCTTTATTCACATTTATCCCCCTCCTTAACAACAACAACAACAAAAAAACATATTTGATTGTTTTTCCTTCCCTATTTCTAAGGCAATCCCCAGAGGACAAGCAGTGTCAGACAGTTTTTGGAGCGTCTTGAGCAATATTCCTCACATGAGGGGAAAAAAAAAACTTGTGGTTAAGGGAGTATCGTGTAACTTTAGAGACTGGAAGCAAGTCAAGCCTTTTCCTAGTTACTTTGTCACTAATGAAAGTAGCAAAAAGCCCTGGAGGATGTCTGTTTGTGTTTTGGAGTGCACTGAATGTTGGGGTGGGGGGCTAGGTGGTAAAACTTTGGGAGAGACGTCTGACAGCGACAGCAAGGGGGATCTTTGAGGGGAAGCGTTGTTGGGATTGAAGCGTTAAGGCGGCTGAGACCTCCTGACAGAATCCCAGCGCCGACAAATAGACCTTTCATATGTGCGTGTTTACCAAGTTTACTGTAGCTTGTGAGGCCTTTGAATGCAGCAAAGCGCCTCGCGTCAATCCCTGTCACACTTTGTCTTATTGATCTTTTAGTTTGTGTGGCAACGTGTGGGCGGGGTGCGTGCGTAGGTTGGGTGGGGGCCTCATTTGAGAAGCAGAGGGTGCAGATTAAATCAAGGATGAAAATTGGGCATGTAAAATGAAAGCTTTGTAAGTGGATGTAGGTCACAAATCCCTCTTTAATTAGTATTAAGCAGGATACGCACAAACTTTATCGATGTTGAAAACGAGAGTGACCCGTCACATGATGAAGAAAAATAATCATGTGCTTCTGTTTATATCTGTGGTGGACTCAGAATCCCACAAATCAGGTGTCTGTTGTAGTACCAAAACTAACCTGTGAGGGGCAGTATGGTGCATCCAGATGAGCAAAATACAAAGAGGAAGAGAAGAAATTAAGATCGTTGTCAGCTGAGCAGTTGTCACGGATCTCACTGCTTTTGAGGTTGTTTAGTTCTAGTTTTGCCACACTATTTTACTGTCATCGTACCTAACCACAGCCACTGACAAAAATCGTGCACGGTTGCTGTTAGATTCCTGATTGGTGAGTGAGTGTGTGTGTGTGTGTGTGTGTGTGGGCAGAACGTCCATCTTTTGTCGCCCGTAGCGAATTTTATTGTGCAGAAGCTTGGTTGAGGACGCAAATAGTTTGTCTTTTTTTGGCATGCTTATGTTATGGGCAACAGTTAAACATTTGTTGTTGCAAACTAAGACTCTTCAAAGCTGTTTCGGACCTCTGACGTCGACATGGGTTCTGAGTACACAGTCCCGCAATTTGGAGGATTATTTTGATTCAGTTTGTGATGCTAATTTGTACTGTATCCCATTTATTTTGCGTGTAATCCCACTGTCAACCAATAGATGGTGGCACACTTTGTAGTTTAACACTAAATTTGGAAGAAGAGGAATGAAAACAGGAAGTATTTCATTTTAGCCTAATTTTTGCTGAAAATTATTGAATGTAAAATCCTGATTTTATGTTTACGGAAAGCAACAGCTGTCAGTTTCTTTTTTATAA